AATTAGAGACCCTGAACAGACCAGTAACAAGCACCAAGATTGAAATGGTAATTTTAAAATTACCAACAAAAAAAGTCCAGGATCAGACGGATTCACAGCAGAGTTCGACCAGGTATTCAAAGAACAATTTGTACTAATCCTATTGACACTATTCCAGGAGATAGAGAAAGAGGGAACCTTCTCTAACTCATTCTATGAAGCCAGTATCACCCTAATACCAAAACCAGGAAAGGACACAACAAAAGAAAACTACAGACCAGGCTGGGCATGGTGGCTCACGATTGTAATCCCAGCACTTTGGAAGGCTGAGGCGGGCAGATCACCTGAGGTCAGGAGTTTGACACCAGCCTGACCAACATGGAAGAAACCTCATCTCTACTAAAAATTCAAAAAAATTAGCCAGGTGTGGTGGCGCATGCCTGTAAGCCCAGCTACTCTGGAGGCTGAGGCAGGAGAATCACTTGAACCCAGAAGGCGGAGGTTGCAGTGAGCCAAGATCACGCCATTGCACTTCAGCCTGGGCATCAAGAGCAAAACACTGCTTACAAAAATAATTAGCTGGGTATGGTGGCAGGGACCTATAATCTCAGCTACTCAGGAGACTGAGACAGGAGAATTGCTTGAACCGGGGAGGCAGAGGTTGTGGTGAGCCGAGATCGCACCACTGCACTCCAGCCTGGGCAACAAAGAGCGAAATTCCGTCTCAAAAACAAAAATAAAAATAAACTACAGACCAATATCCCTGATGAACATAGACGTTAAATCCTTAACAAAATACTAGCTAACTAAATCCAACAACATATCAAAAAGATAATCCACCATGATCAAGTGGGTTTCATACCAGGATGCAGGGATGGTTTAACATATGCAAGTCAATAAATGTGATACACCACATAAACAGAATTAAAAACAAAAATCACATGATCATCTCAATAGATGCAAAAAAGGCATTTGACAAAATCTAGCATCCCTTTATGATTAAGACTCTCAGCAAAATCAGCATACAAGGAACATAACTCAACATAATAAAACCCATCTATGACAAACCCACAGCCAAGATAATACCGAATGGGGAAGAGTTGAAAGCATTCCCTCTGATAACTGGAACAAGACAAGGATGCCCACTCTCACCACTCTTCTTCAACATAGTACTGGAAGTCCTAGCCAGAGCAATGAGACAAGAAAAAGAAATGAAGGGCAACCAAATCGGTAAAGAGGAAGTCAAACTGTCACTGTTTGCTGATGATATGATTGTTTGCCACGAAAACCCTAAAGACTCCTCCAGAAGGCTCCTAAAACGGATAAAAAAATTCAGCAAAGTTTCAGGATACACTAATGTACACAAATCAGTAGCTCTTCTATACAACAACAGTGACCAAGTTAAGAATCAAATCAAGACCTCAACCCCTTTTACAATAGCTGCAAAAAAATAAAAAAAATAAAAAAATAAAAAACAGGAATATACTCAACCAAGGAAGTGAAGGACCTCTACAAGGAAAACTACAAAATGCTGCTAAAGGAATCATAGAAGACACAAAAAAATGGAAACACATCCCATGCTCATGGATGGGTAGAATCAAATATTGTGAAAATGACCATACTGCCATGAGCAATCTACAAATCCAACGCAATCCCCATCAAAATATCACCATCATTCATCACAGACTTAAAAAAAAAAATTCTAAAATTCATATGGAACCAAAAAAGAGCCTGCATAGCCAAAGCAAAACTAATAAGCAGAAAGAACACATCTGAAGGTATCACATCACCTAATTTCAAATTATACTGTAAGGCCATAGTCATCAAAACAGTATGGTACTGGTATAAAAATAGGCACATAGACCAATGGAACAGAATAGAGAACCCAGAAATAAGCCCAAATACTTACAGCCAACTGATCTTCAACAAAGCAAAGTAAAACATAAAAGTGGGGAAAGGACATCCTTTTCAACAAATGGTGCTGGGATAATCGGCTAGCCACATGTAGGAGAATGAAACTGGATCCTCATCTCTCACCTCATACAAAAATCAACTCAAGATGGATTAAAGACTTAAACCTAAGACCTGAAACTATAAAAATTCTAGAAGATAACATTGAAAAAACCATTCTAGACTTTGGCTTACGCAAGGAGTTCATGACCAAGAAGTCAAAAGCAAACGCAATAAAAACAAAGATAAATTGCTGGAACTTAATTAAACTAAAGAGCTTTTCCATGGCAAAAGGAATAGTCAGCAGAGTAAACAGATAACCCATAGAGTGGAAAAAAAATTTTCAAAATCTATACATCTGACAAAGGACTAATATCCAGAATCACAATGAACTCAAACAAATAAATAAGAAAAAAACAATCCCACCAAAAAGTGGGCTAACGACATGAATAGACAATTCTTAAAAGAAGATACACAAATGGTCAACAAACATATTTCAAAATGCTCAATAGCACTGTATGATCAAGAAGATGCAAATCAAAACCACAATGTGATACCACGTTACTCCTGCAAGAATGGCCATAATAAAAAAAAAACAGATGTTGGCATAGATGCAGTGAACAGGGTACACTTCTACACTGCTAGTGGGAATGCAAACTAGTACAAGCACTACAAAAAAGAGTGTGGAGATTCCTTAAAGAACTAAAAGCAGAGGCCAGGCGTGGTGGCTCACACCTGTAATCCCAACACTTTGGCAGGCCAAGGTGGGTGGATCACCTGAGGTCAGGAGTTCGAGACCAGCCTGGCTGCCATGGCAAAACCCCGTCTCTACTAAAAATAGAAAAATTAGCCAGGTATGGTGATGCTTGCTTATAATCCCAGTTACTTAGGTGGCTGAGGCAGGAGAATCGCTTGAACCTGGTGGGCGGAGGTTGCAGTGAGTCAAGATCACGCCATTGCACTCCAGTCTGAGGGACAACAGTGAAACTCTATCTCAAAAAAAAAAAAAAAAGTACTGAAAGTGGAACTACCATTTGATCCAGCAATCCCACTAGTGGGTATCTACCCAGAGGAAAAGAAGTCATTATACAAAAAATATACTTGCACATATATGTTTATGGCAGCACAATTAGCAGTTGCAAAAACGTGGAAAAAACCCAAATTCCTATCAATTGAGTGGATAAAGAAACTGTGGTGTTATATATACACGATGGAATACTACTCAGCTATAAAAAGAAATGAATTAATGGCATTCACAGTGACCTGGATGAGACTGGAGACTATTATTCTTAGTGAAGTAACTCAGGAATGGAAAACCAAACATCATATGGTCTCACTCATAAGTGGGAGCTAAGCTATGAGGATGCAAAGGCATAAGAATAACACAATGGACTCTGGGGACTCAGGTAGAAAGGGTAGGAAGGGGGTCAGGGACAAAAGACCACCAATAGGGTACAGTGGACACTGCTCGGGTGATGGGTGCACCAAAATCTCACAAATCACCACTGAAGAACTTACTCCTGTAGCCAAACACCATGTGTACTCCAATAACATATGGAAATTTAAAATTTTTTTAAATAAAATAAAGAAAGAAAAATAATGATGGCTTGGAAAGGTAAGGAAGTAATGTAGAGCAAGAAATGCAACTTTATATGTCAAATTGAATCTGATATTTGTAAATTATGTGAATACTAGCAACTTGCAGAATCTATTCTTTTTCCCACAAATCTTTCCTTCAAAGATAGATTAAAAAGTCAGCATAATTTTAAAATAAAGACTCCAAAAATTTTCAAATTGGTTTACAGCAAATCCCCTAAAACAGTCAGCTTTCAGTCGTTCATTTAACCGTTTAAATATCTAAGAGAAAATAAAGTATTTCAAAACAAAGAGAAGAGAGTCAGTCCATAACCAATAGGTTGCAAACTTCTGCCAGTTGCATCCTCTCCCATATTCTGGCTGCGACTTCCCCATCGCTATCCCCGACAGTTCATGAACTACCTCTCCCAATGGTGGACACTACTGTTGGGCTTTTGGTGTTTGGCAGTGGCTGGATATCTTATGCTGCCACCTTAATGCTTCTTTTGGCACATTCTATTTGATGCCTATGAGTTACATTTACCTTTTGGGTATTATATCGGCATTCTTCACCCTGTAAAAATTATTTTTCTCAGCTACCCTCTGAATCAAAAAGGGGTAGTAGCTTTTTTAAAGCAAACTGCTCCTATCTCTCCTTCTAATTACTAAATTTCAACACTTAAAATTTATATTCTCAAAAGCCTGTAAAAGAAAGAATTATACATGACTTCTAATCGTGGTTACAAGATCTTTAAGTCAAGAAATGCAGAAGAGAAAAAGACAGAAAGGGGATAAATTTCAGGTGTTAATTATTCTCCCATGAAATAGAGGGTGGTATCACCAGCATCCCATAAAAAAGCAGTCAATGTTATTTTTAAAGGTCAACTGGAGTAAAAATAAATTTTAATAAGATAGGTTGCCCCATCTTTTACACAGAATCAAATATTTCAAAAGTCTAAAAAAGGAGTGTACATTTACCCACAAGTGGGTAAGACCTCAATGCTAAAACTCTGATGCCAAGTACTTTAAAACATCAACAAAGACTCTATATGTATAAAATGAGCAAAGATATCATTAAATAGAAAAATAATCAATATCTTTAATCACATTTTTCAATACATAAGAACGCATTAGCTTATTTAACCTTTTACATATAGCAATATCAAGCTTTGCTCCACTAAGCAAATTAAAGGATTTTTAAGATACCATATACAAAAAAACATACAAAAGCGGTATAAATCATTTTCTTCAAAAATATTTTGTCATGTATATCGACAAAATGCAAGCACCAATAATAAGTGTTCTCTTTAAACACATCAGAACTTGCTTGGAAATTTAGTCCTGTTGACCTTTAAGTCATTTCAGCCCAATTTGTTCACTCTCTACACAATTTTGAAGACTTGACCACTGATGTTTAAGAACCTTACACAAGATTATTTAATTTAAATCTAACACCATACTGCCTGCGGCCACAAAAGCAATAAAACATTTTCTACCTCTCCACCCCACAGATCTCCGTTGTGATGCTGTGAACAATGAACAGAAAGCTGGATTTAGAATTTAATTTCAAAGAGAAGATTCACAACTTGTTAACAAAAGAGAAAGCGGTAATTGTGTCCTGAAAATAATACAATTATTGAATTAACAGTAAAAATGTGTTTTTCCTGGTACACACGGTATTTATGAAGCCAGTAGTATAAAACATCCATCAAGCAATCTTATTAGAATCATTGTGATATAGCACTTAAAAGACAATACTTTGTCCTATATAGATTTGTATTTTTAAACAATCATACTTACAGTAAATGCTGCAAATACAAAATGAAATCAAACATCCTTTGACTTTTTACTGACCTAAAAACTGTTAAACAAACAAACAAAAAAAACAAAAAAAACCCTAAAACTGAATACATCAGTTTAGACAATGGGAAAATACAAAATAGGGGGGAAGCTAACATATGTATGATCAAAAGTATACAGTAATATGGCGTTTATTTGTACATAATTTAATATGCTACTGTGTTATGCACAAAATCTCACTCTCCTTTAAAGGTACCCTTTAAAAAAAAAACTGTCAAAAGTCTAATGCAACATTATCCAAAAGAAATATACGAGCCAAAACTACAATATACTATGTTTAAATTTTCCAGTATATATTAAATTTTCCAATATATTAAAAAACAATTGAAAATAATTTTAATAACATTATTTAACCCACTATATCCAAAATACTATGATTTTAAAATGTAAACAATATAACAATGATTAAAGATCATTTCACAGTCTTTTTTATTCTGTGTATTTTAACTCACAGCATATCTCAATTCAGACTAGCCACATTTCAACCACTCAATAGCCACATGTAGCTAGTGGCTACCATACTGGAAAATCCAGGTTTAATTAATCCCTTTATTAGACCAGTGACAAAACTAGACTGGGTGCAGTGACTAACACCTGTAATTCCAGCACTTTGGAAGGCCAAGGCACAAAGAGCGCTTGAAGCCGGGGGTCTGAAACCAGCCTAGGCAACAAAGTGGGACCCTCATCTCTACAAAAAAATTTTAAAATTAGCAGGGAGAGAGTGAGTGGCATGCACCTCTAGTCTCAGGTACTTAGGAGGCTGAGGCAGGAGGATCACTTAAGCCTCAGAGTTAGAGGTTACAGTGAGCTATGATCAAGCCATTGCACTCCAGCCCAGGTAACAAACAGAGACCCTGTCTCAAATAAATGTCTAAAGGATAAAAATTTAAAAAGAAAGCTGTCAGAAAAAAAGGAATATTACTCATGAATCTATCAGAAAAAGGATTATAGGCAAATGCCCAATACATAGAGGGCAAGTAACATCACATTTGTACTGCAATGACTTCTACTAGTTTAAAACTGGTAAAAGACAATCCTAAAATTTGCATTAAAACCTCCAGGAACGATTTCTATACTTACAGCATTCTCACCATTTGGCTGCCCTCTCTTTATTAACTTGCTCTGTATGTGTTGTTGATAAAGGACTATGTTCTAGTAATAAATCTGTTATAAAGCTTTGTGCAATGCTAAGGGGTACGTGTCTTTAAAAAAAAAAGAAGGTGGGTCTATCTTGTTCATTGTTCTTAACCATTTAGCCATATCTAGTAACCAACAGGTACTCAAATATTTGTTGAATGAATGAATTCCACTGGTATTCAATAAGGCATAGAACTTCAGTGCTGGAGATATGGCATGCGACAGAACAACTGGCCCAACCTACCACCCACAGCAGAAATACCCTCCACAATATTGCAGACAATGGCCACCCACCCATTGTTTTAAACAAAGTCTTCAAATACTGATGGCCCAAATGCTGTCTGGGTCACAGCCAAAAGATACATTTTGGCTGTCCTGCCCTACTGAGCTGGTGTGGTATTTTTAAATAATCTGAATTGAAAATATTTAAAAACCAGATTTCACATGGAAACCACTATAAAGTTTTTGTGAAAAAACAATAAATCTGACAATCTGGCATCTTCAACCCTGATAGTGCCAAGTGGTTACTGCCCCCTTTAACAAGGCATCTGCTTTAGACTCCACAGTCCCAAACCACAGCCTACTTCTCCAACAGGGAGTCCTAAAATCAGTTGGCTGCTGTCCCTTTGGGCTGATGGTTTTCTTATAGTAGTTGAGATAAAGGGAAAATCCAATATTTATGGTCTCCATATTTACAGCAAAAAAACTAAAATGAAGGAGAGTCCTATATTTATTATGCCTGGGGCTCTCTTCATTGATGCACCTGTTTGGCCCTGCAGCATCTAAATTTGACACCGGATGCAAACACTTTTAGTGGCAGGAGTCTGATATACTCAGCCCATTTCACTTCTGGGGACAGCCTTAGTAGTGGGGTGGTGTGTGTGTGTGTGTCTTCTTTCATGCTAAGTTAAATGTGCTTTCCTATTCCATCTACTCATTGACCTGGGACCTCTGCCAGAGATATCCAGCATACTCGTTCTATCCATAAGAAAGCTATCATATTCTGCAGTCATCCCTTCTCATCTCCTGTAATTGCTCTTTACCCCTCTCAGGACATAATCTAACTTCACAGGGTTCTTCCTAAAGAAGAGGGAGAAACATCTCAGTAATTCTATTTCGTATCTAGACAGTGAAAAGTATGGTGTAATGGAGCTCATATTCCAAAAGACAAAAGTCATTATTACTGAATATAAGCCATTGTGGCATGTTCTGTACAAACCCTGTGGCAGAGGTTTCTCATTCAACATCCATTTAACAAATATTTATTAAGCATCTAGAGTACCACACTAGGTAAATTCCTGAAAACAGAAAATCATTCGTCTAGTTCTTCCTATGAATCACACAAAAAACTAGCCAAATCTTAATATTAAAAGCCTACAGAATTTTGTGAAATATGTATATAAGCGCAAACTACTTATAAGTAGAACTATCTAGTACATAACTAAAATGTTGTTTGTGCTAAATATTAATATACAAAAAGTTTTCTTCGGTCAATCAAGCAGGGGTTCTCAATCAGCCAATGAAGATGTACCAACAGAATATCAAGTTGTTAAGCTGGTAGGACTGATTTCAAGTGATGCTGTCTTTCCCTCCTCAGTATGCCAGATTGGTAGCAAGGGAGGAAACATAAAGGTGATGACCTCACAAGGATCATGACCCTGTATAACTTCATACTCTCTGAATTTTCTGTTTGCCTGATGTGATGCTGCTTGTTTTTTTGTATATACATACAACTTCCATATGTGCAAAATATCATCCATGTAACTAGTGATTGCCATCTTTTTAAAAAAATATATGTTTTAATAGCAGCATATCTACTCTTCTCCACTCTCTCTGATGGAGCACACATAAGTATCACCCAAGGAGACTCCCTATCACAGAGAGACCAAAAGAAGATAACATTCTCTAAAATGTAACTTAGACTCTTTTCTGCAAAGTTTTTTTTTTTTTTTTTTTTACAAGATTAAAAAGTTACTCCTGTACTTTAAGAGGGAGAAACTGACACAGTGGACAAAAAGATTAAACTTGAAACTTCAAAGCCCAAAATAGGAAGCGCTGCTCTGAAAGTCTGACACTTAGGACCACTACTGACTCTCCTCCATAAGGACATGCCTAACATGAGCCTGTACTATTTGCACTCATTTTGGTCCTCGCAGCTGACTTCTGTACTAGTATTTGGCCCTGAATTTCAGTGTCTCCAGTGATTTCAAGTTAATTTTGATCTACATTAATCCTGCAACATCCGTCCAGAGAAAAAGTAACATTATCCCAACAAGAAACAATTTAAACGTTGGCCATGTAATAAAGATATACGTGCTGTACATCAATTTCATTTTCTATACATTACTACAGAATTCTACTACTATTTATGACATTCAAAATCCTTTTTTTAAAAACAGACAAAAATGGATGGAGAGGCTGGAATAAGTTGCTCATGCCCATGATCCCAGCACTTTAGGGGGCCAAGGTGGGCAGACTGCTTGAGCCTAGAAGTTTGAGACGAGCCTGGGCAACATGGTGAAACAAAAATATATAAAAATTAACTGGGCATGGTGGCACCCGCTTGTAGTCCCAGCTACTCAGGAGGCTGAGGTGGGAGGAGCACTTGAGCCCAGGAGAGGGAGGCTGCAGTGAGCCGAGATTGCGCCACTGCACTTCAGCCTGAGAGACAGGGAAGACACTGTCTCAAAAAACAAAAACAAAACAAAACAAAACAAAACAAAACAAAACGGATGAGGGATAAAGAAAATAAAATCCCCAAATGGGACCAGAAGGGACAAAATGACAAAAAATAATTCCCTTAAAAGTTATCTAGGACTAGCCATTAGGTAGTCCCACTCCTTAACTCTGCAGTTTTTATTTACCTATTACCATATATGAATTATCAATGTTTTCCTAGTTAGTATTTCAGTAGTCCATTATTTTATGTATCAAGGACATCACACAGTCAGAAAAATTCCTAAAGACAAGCATAGGATTTTTTTTTTCTTGAGACAGACTTTCATTCTTGTTGCCCAGGCTAGAGTGCAATGGCGCGATCTCGGCTTACCGCAACCTCCACCTCCCAGGTTCAAGCGATTCTCCTGACTCAGCCTCCCAAGTAGCTGGGATTACAGGCATGCACCACCATGCACAGCTATTTTTGTATTTTTAGTAGAGATGGGGTTTCTCCATGTTGGTCAAGCTGGTCTCGAACTCCTGACCTCAGGTGATCCACCCACCTTGGCCTCCCAAAGTGCTAGGATTATACGTGTGAGCCACCGTGCTCAGCCTTACAAACACAGTTAATAAGGAGTTTAACATAAAGTTCATATTCAATATCCAATATCTACTTTAAGTATGAATCAAAAGCCAAGAGTTCATTTTGACATTTCAACAGTGGGGGAGGACCATTTATAACTATAGTTTTAATTTATTCATCTGGAAAAATTAACCCCCAAGATGACAAAAATAATTTTCCTTCCAGTTACCACTGAATATATATCTATAAGCTTACCCCCAGCACCACCCCAGCCCACAGTTCTAACACATACCTGGTCTATTAATTCGGTCAATTTTATCCATACTAGGGGAGGGGAGCCGAAGTCGAGGACTGCTTTGATTGGAGTTGTCTGATCCCACATCGTTGAATGAATCATCAAGAGTCAGCAGGAGTTCTTTTACACATTTATGACAGATACTATGTTGGCAAGGGAGAATCAATGGGTGGGTAAACAGCTCCTTGCATGCTGGGCAAATGAGCTCCCTTTCGATATTCTTAATGGTAACCTTAAATTGAGAGTAAAACAATCCAAGTTAAAGGCTCTTAGTGGGTAAATATATTAACATTCTTATACCTCTTGAATAAATACATATGTTTACTTTTCCAAAAACAATTAAGAAAATGATTTTTTTAAATTTTAAATTTCTTTTCCCCAATAAAATTTGATACCATCAACTGCCCTCAACACCCATAACCCAGAACTGAAGGAACATGAGATAGTAAAGGGCAAAAATGAAAAAATGAGAAAAATTATGTAAAATATTAGAGGATCATGATATTCTATCAAAAATTACAAAGCCATCATTCGAATCTCCATCACCAGTGCACTGATTTAGGACTTCAGTGAAATCCCAGAAGTAGATCATGTCAATAAAAATTTTGAATACAGCACTAACAGTAAGACTATATTCCTATTTAGTGAATTAACGCTGTAACTGGCAAATAACAGGAGCTATTAAACACTAGCTGAGTCAGTATGTTCATGGAACCCCAGTTGGTATCTATTTACAAGCCGAAATTATCAGCAATTTTCTATATTAAATGCGACCATTTTTCATATGCTGCAACTGTAATGCAGCCAAAATGCCTGAGGTTCTAATGCTGTATATCAAAGCAATTATCTTAAAAGCACTTCATGAATATGTATTAGTCCATTTTCACACTGCTATAAATACCTTTGTATTTCTTTATATAAAGATATTTCTTTACATAAAGATATTTCTATATAAATTACCAATTTATAAATTTATAAAGAAAAGATATTTAATTTCTTTACATATAAAGAATTTTATATATTTATTTATATAGAAATTTATTTCTATATAATTTATAATTTATAAAGAAAAGAGATTTAATTGACTCACAGTTCCACTTGGCTAGGGAGGCCTCAAGAAACTTACAATCATGGCAGTAGGGGAAGCAGGTCTGTGTTACGTAGAGGCAGGTGAGAGAGAGCAAGAGCAGGGAAACTGCCTTATAAAACCATCAGACCTTGTGAGAATTCACTATCACAAGAACAGCATGGGGAAAATCTACCCGTGATCCAATCGCCTCCCACCAAGTCTCTCCCTCAACACCTTGGGATTACAATTTAAGATGAGATTTGAGCCTAACCATATCATTCTGGCCCTGGCCCCTCCCAAATCTCATGTCCTTACATTTCAAAACCAATCATGCCTTCTAAACAGTTCCCCAAAGTCAACTCATTTCAGCATTAACTCAAAAGTCCAAGTCCAAAGTCTTATCTGAGACGAGGCAAGTCCCTTCTGCCTAGGAGCCTGGAGAATAAAAAGCAAGTTAGTTACTTCCAGGATACAATGGGGGTACAGGCATTGGATAAATGCTCCCATTCCAAATGGGAGAAATTAGCCAAAACAAAGGGGCTATAGGACCCATGAAAGTCTGAAACCTAAAACTGCAGTTATTAAGTCATAAAGCTCCCAAGTGAGATCTCCTTTGACTTCATGTCTCTCATTCAGGGTATACTGATCCAAAGGGTGGGTTGCCATGGCCTTGGGGCAGCTCCACCCCTGTGGCTTTGCAGGGTACAGCCCCCCATGCCACCTGCTTTCATGGCTGGCGTTGAGTGTCTGCAGGTTTCCCAGACACGTGAATGAAGCTGTTGGTGGATCTACCATTCTGGGGTCTGGAGGACCATGGCCCTCTTCTCAGAGCTCCACTAGGGAGTGCCCCAGTGGGGAGTCTGTGTGGCAGCTTATATCTCACATTTCCCCTTTGCACTGCCCCAGCAGAGGTTCTCCATGAGAGCTTCGCCCCTGCAGCAGACCTCTGCCTGGACATCCAGGTGTTTCCATACATTCTCTGAAATCTAGGCAGAGGTTTCCAAACCTCAACTCTTGACTTTGGTGCACTGGTAGGCCCAACACCATGTGTAAGCCACCAAGGCTTTGGGCTTGCACCCTCTGAGGCAATGGTCTAAACTGTACCTTGGCCCGTTTTAGCCACAACTGGTACTGGAACAGCTGGGACACAGGGCACCAAGTCCCAGTGATGGCAGCTGCAGCCCATCTGGAACAGCTGCTGCAAAGATGCTGGCTGCAGCTGGGAAGGCACAGCCGGACCTGCTTACTCTGCAGAGCCAGCAGGATCCAGGAACAGGCAGGAGCCCTTCCCCATTCCGAGTTGGTGGGGAGGGAGCCCCATGCTCCTGGGTACCACTGCAGCCACCCAGCTGTGGACTAGGGCATTCCTATGCTCTTGGTGGCCCAGGATGCCCCTCTTCCCCTGCATGCTCAGAAATGCCTGCTCCTGCTGCTTGGCCTCTCCCCATTCCCAGTGCCCACTCTGATTTTGGAGAAAAGCTGTGGCCAAGCCCGGGCACTGTCATGACCTGGCCAGGTGTGTGGGTACTTGAGGAGATGCTGACACACTAGCCCCCTGCCACCTCAGTCCCCTCTGGACTTTGGGCGCTGATGAACATGGGAGAGAGGCCAAGTGCAGGGCTGAGGGTGACTCAATATGGTACTGCATGCATCCCTCACCTAAAATAGTCTGGGCACCACGAATGGCAGTGGGAGGCAGACAGGTTCCTGGGAGGAAAGGGACAGATCCCTGCTGAAACCCCACTTTCAAGCAAGGGATAGCCTGAAGCCTAGGGTCCAGGCTGCCAGTTCCACTGACTGGAGTGAGAACTTACAGTGAATTTTCCAGGCCCACCCATGGCCACCCATTGGCCAATCAGCACACACTTCCTCCCCTCTGAAGCCCATATAAACCACAAACTCAGCCAGACTCTGGCAGATGATAGGACGACTTGTCTGAAGGTAAGAGCTACCTGCTTGGGTCTCCTGTCCACTGAGGGCTGCACACTCAACAAAAGGACCTGCCTGCAGAGAGGAGATACCCACTCCGGGTCTCCTCTCTGTTGAGAATTGCAGATGTTGGGAGGAACTGCCTGCGGAAAGCAGCTACCCACTACGGGTCTCCTGAGAGCTATTCTTTTGCTCAATAAAGCACCTCTTCACCTTGTTTACCCTCCAGTTGCTCATGTAGCTCATTCTTCCTGGACACAGTACAGGAACTCTGGACCTGCCAAATGGCAGGACTAAACAAGCTGTAACACAAACAGGGCTAAAATATATCCCACTTCTCGCCATGTTGTGGGTGACGAGGAGGAGACGAGAGAGGAGAGAAGAGCTGCAGCCCTTTAGGGAGCCTGGACTTACGAGCTCTCCAAGCCAGGGCTGTGACACCCTCTTTGTGGCTCTGCAGTTCCTGGCATCTCCAAGTTTCTGGGTGTCACCGTGTTCCACAGTGCTTGTAGTGGAAGCCACTTGTGGTACACCTTTGTTCCAGCCACAGCAAGGAGCCGGCACCCATGCTGGCACCTGGACCTGACTGCCCCGCCATGGCCAGCATGCCTGGCTGCGCACACTGTACCCTGGGCTCGCTCACTCATGCACCCCTTGCTGCTCTGCACCTGGGCTTGCCCTTGGCAGGCATGGGGTCTGGGCCAATAGTGAAAGCCAAGCACAGTCCGTCAGGCCAAGTGGGCAGAACAAGTCCAGTGGGCCTGAGCAAAACTTGGGCAAAGGCAACACTTGCCACAGACGTTTCTGGCTGGCAAAACGACACCCTAAGGATCCTGTGATACCGAGGCTGCACACAGCAGCAGGGCCCTGGGCCCACTCCACTAAACCATTTTTCTCTCCTAGGCCTCCAGGCCTGTGATGGGAGGGACTGCTGCCAAGATCTCTGACATGCCCTGGAGACATTGTACCCATAGCCTTGGTGATTAACATTTGAGTCTTTTTTACTTAAGCAAATTTCTGCAGTTAGCTTGAATCCCTCCCCAGAAAATAAGTTTTTCTTTTCTACTCCATGGTAAGGCTGCAAATCTTCCAAACTTTTACGCTCCCCTTCCCTTTTAAACGTAAGTTGCAATTTCAGATTGTCTCTCTCAAGTTCAAAGCTTCACACATCTCTAGGACAGGGGCAAAACACTGCCAGTCTCTTTGCTAAAGCACAGCAAGAGTCACTTTTACTCCAGTTTCCAACAAGTTCCTCACCTCCATCTGAGACCACCTTGGTCTGGACTTCTTTGTCTATATCACTAGCACTTTTAGTCAAAACCATTCAACAAGTCTCTAGGAAATTCCAAACTTTCCCACATCCTCCTGTCTGCTTCTGAGTCCTCCAAACTGTTCCAGCTTCTGCCTGTTACCCAGTTCCAAAGTCGCTTCCACATTTTTGGGTATCTTTACAGCAGTGCCCACTACCTTGGTACCAATTCTCTGTGTTAACCCATTTTCACAGTGTTACAAAGAAATACCCAAGAATGGCTAATTTATAAAGAAAAGAGATTTAATTGACTCACAATTCTGCATGGCTGGAGAGGCCTCAGGAAACTTACAATCACGGCAGAAAGGGAAGCAAGCACGTTTTACATGGCAGCAGGGGAGAGAGAGTAAGAACAGACAACACTGCCTTATAAAACCATCAGATCTTGGGAGAATTCACTATCACAAAAACAGCATGGGGGAAACCAGTCCTATGATCCAATCACCTCCCACCAGGTTTCTCCCTCAACACCTGGGGATTACAATTCAAGATGAGATTTGGGTGTAGACACAAAGCCTAACCATAACAGAATATTAAAAGAGTGTAGAGGACCCTTTAAAAAGGTGTATAAGCATCACTACTAATGCTCTCAATACTACAGGCTTTCATTATTTTAAGTGAGAAGCATTTTAGATTCATCACAACTAAAAAAGTTTGATGACCTCCTACAGTTTCGCCATCATTTCTCTATGTAGTTTTTTCCATGTATCCCAGACTTCAAATATACGAATCCTACAGTCAGCATCCCTGCAATTTTAAAGACAGCCCAACTTCAAAGCACTTATAACCTTGCACAATCGTTTCAACTACTAGAAACACAAAGAAAATTAAAATTGACTTAATGTAATTTAAAAATGTATGCTAACTTATTCTCCCTAATAATCTCTGACAATTCAATCGCATTAGAGCCAACTGGTTTTATCAT